TATTTTATTTATTAATTTCTCCCAATAGCTTACAAATACTAAAATGGCAATTTGTACAGATATAAATTGAAACAATGCTAAAATGGTGTCCAAGCTAGGTAAAAAAACCTGTGTTATGGATCACCAGGCCTCCACTGCACGGACATGGCTGTAAATTTGTACATAATACACTGATAACTTTAGGCATCTACTATACAAGTATAACATAAAAATTTAACAAAAATGGACTCAAACACGGAAGTGTGTGTGTGTGTGTGTGGGTGTGTGTGTGTGCTGGCGCATGTCTATGTGTAAGCTTGTGCGCTGTAAATGCGACAGAGAGGTGCGTGAGAAAAGTTTGAATATGTGTTTACCGTGGTAATTAAATTAAACATGTTTTGATGATATAATTTTGGGGCAGACAATATCTTTGTCTTTTTTTTAGTGTTTTCAATACTATAATGGGAGTGCAACGTGCTATTTGAGGACTGTTGACTTAATAAGTAATTGCCTTACAGTTAGTAGGTACCTTACACGACTGACACAGAAAGTCAGTGGGGTAATGGAAAAGGTGGCAGGTAGAAACCTTTAGAACCGCTCGTTGAGCTCTCTCAATAATTAGTAATGAAGTTTTAGCAATACCACCCCATGATGTAATGCAATAACTAATAATTGATTGACATAATAAATTTGCCTGATTATTTTGAAATCCGCAACATTCGGACACTTAGTGCTTGGACATGGTGCTTAAAAAGAGAGGTTATCGTCAATTATAACACCTAAAAGTACTTTACCTTGTTAGTAATAGCAATGTCTGGAGACTTACACAGATTGATGGATAGATAGATAAAATGTTCATTCAGCACAAACACAAGCAGAAACAAACACTACAATCAGTTTTTTTTACAATATCAAGTGCGGACGAACAAAGCTACATAAGCTACACGCCTATTCGTAACAGTTGCGTTACTGCTCAGAGCTTTAAATCGCAACTGAGGGGCACTGCCACTGCGTTTTCGCCCCGAGACATAAGTTGACAAGTCACATGTGTGTGTAATTTCACCAGCGCCATTATCCTTCAAAACCGGAACGCAATAATGCCTTCATTACTGCTTGGAGGCAGAAATATGTAAGGTACGACCACAACAGTATTGCATTGCGTAGAAATAGGTAAAGTGTTGGTGCTACCCAAATACCAGTAAATTATTGTATAGAATTGCTTTACGATCACAGACGCCATTGTTTAGTGATTGCGGCAAAACCGTTTTGTAAGAAGCAAGTTTGTATGTAAGCGCGCAGAGCTTTTACTACCTCTTGGTTGGATAAAATTATGCGACGCGCTTCAGCAATCAAACGACAGTGTGTCTGGAGATTCCAGTCAATCAGCGGCCAAGACTGGACGTCTAGCTTTAAATACCCTCAATTAAGGGTCATTTAACTCGAGCCCGTGACATTAGCGGTTATAGGACTACATCATCAGTAGATATATGTTCGTATGCTCGTTGGTACGTTCGTTTCGAATACATAATACTTCACCCTTTCCCGTCAGGGTAGGCGGAGACAACAGCCTTCCATTTGCTACAATCCTGGTATCCTTCGCCTCATCAACGCAAATACATACTCGTCGGTTAAGGTTATACTTTTGTCCGGGCCTTTCTATAGATCTTCTCAATTTGTTCGTGGTAAGGCAGCAAATTCGGAACGATGGTGCTGGTTAGTGCTTATGTTGCGCGCAAAAGTGTGTCTTTTGTTAGATATATCCAACGCAAGACACAATGTACGCACCACCACTGTTGCTAATTCGTGGCCTAAGTTTGCCTTGATCGGTCTTCACCAACTCACCCGTTCACTATCATCTTATAAACCTGTTGCGTCAATCGTGCCTACATGTCCGAACCATAGTTGCTTACGGCGATAAAAGACTAAAAAACCAATACAAAAGATCTGCTGATCTAACGGGTCATGGTTCATCCTTTCAATCATAGGTATCACATCTCGAAACTCCGCGCACTTTCTTCTACAGTAAATAATCTTTGAGTGCAGAGGTCACTCCCAGAAGTTTTCAGCAAATTCAAGAGAGTGCTAAGATTTTTGAAGAAGCATAGGTGGCACGAGTTGAACCCTGCACCCAAAACATGCGAAATTGGCGTCTGAACGTCGAGTTGCGGACACCAGCACATACCACACGAATGTCTGACCACGCCGCAATACGCATAGAATGATGAAACAGACCGATCATGGAAACTTAGGCAAATGCTCTCTCCACACAACTACCACGGCAAGCTCGTTATATTACATAATGAATTCAGAACAAGATTCCATTAATTATACGTACAACATGGAGAAGATCGCGTGTGGCCATCGCGGTTACTAATTATTGTAATTTAACTACGCCACACGTATTAGAATATTATACCGGTAACTGCTTGTATGTTTAACGGGTACTTAGGAATGTCGCCTTAACCTTTCTAGCCGACTACGGCACCGAAAAGGAGTAAAAGGCGTATTAAACACGATCTTCGACTTTAACATTACATTTTCATTTGCGTTTCTTTATCTTTTATTTATTATTCAAATAAAACAATTGTCATAAAACAAGTTATATCTATATAATATCGATTAGAACGAATAAACCTGAAGACTATAATTGCCTCCGTGGCCGGACGGTTGCCGAACTGGTCTACCACACAGAGAGATTATTTACCTCGTGAGTTTAAAGTGTATGTCCATGACATGGCATTATTTTTTGGTCATCTGTTATTTTTGTAAACAGCCATATTTATTTACTAGTATTATGCTCCCCGAATTTGTGAAAAAAAAAGAAAGAAACAGAAATCAAAATTCGAAAATAAAAACGAAATGCGTATCTTGCGAAAAAACAAAAAAAAAATAAAAATAAAAAACAGAACAGGGCCAAAAAGTTGGCGTTCATAAAAAATGCATTATAAAAAATATTACAAAATATGAATTTTTCAGAAGATGATGAAATGTAGAGATGGTGAAATGGGGATATATCAATCCGACTCAAAATCATTGTGTTTGCCGACCCCCCCACACAAAGTATGTCGCACTTGCTCTCATGTTGTGTCCGATCAGCTGCACCCGCGAAGACCTGCTAATGGCAACAGATAGGGACATAGAGAAGGCTGCTTACTGGGCCAAAGAAATATAACATTAGAATTTGTACTGGTTTCTGGCATTGACTGGACAAGAAGAAGAGAGAGGTTTAAAGATTCTAAGAATTTTAAGTCGATAACTTTAGGGTTATATAAGAGAGTTTTAAAATGTCACATTATAATATGAATATTATATATCATGTATTCTTTCAATAAAAAAATTTTACAACAGAGATAGATTAAATATAGATTCTTGTAGTATGTAGCATTACTGGGTTCCGGTCAGGAAGGGTAAGGATGTTGGTATCAGTTTTACTACTGCTAAATACTTAACAAGACATTTATTATATCTCGAGTAGCTATGACATCATTCAAATACATTTATTGTGTAGGATTTGTGCCAGTCGATGTGGAGGTCTACAGGTTATCAAAATACTTGAGACGATTTATGAATCAGAGTAGCGAGTGACCTACAGAACTAAGGACTTTGAGGAGTTACATGACTTAGTGGCTGCGTTTACGATAATATTTGAATTTAGAAATAATAGATTATAGTTAGATGTAGATAGGAAATGAAACTATTTTTCCGGACCGTGACTATGGGACCTGTAAAAGGCCCGAAACGTCGGTTTGTTTGTAAAAACAAATACACGCGATTTAAATCCGGAAAAATAGTTTCATTTCCTATGTGTAACAATCGCGAAAACCTAAGAACTCGATAGATGTAGATAGTTTTATGTCGAGCGCCATAAAAGTTTTTGTGCCCCGCAGAACTCTAGTAGTCTGCGAACCGGGCCGGGACAACCGTTCTGGTTTGGAAATGTAAGGTTTCTGGTGAAATTACAGGCACATGGGACTTATCAACTTCTGTTTCTGCACGTTTGCGTACTTCATCCAATGCGTACCACTTCGGGTGTCGTTTGGAATCCGAGAGATTACGAATATCGATTGTATACACCTAGAGATAAAATGATCCTGACAATTCGGACCCTCATTTCAGTAATAGGTATGGTGGTTGTACTTTCCTGGACGAACTCCTTTACAAGGAAGAGCTCATTTGTAATAGTAAGTAGGCAAATGACATCACCTAAGCTTAAAAGGCAATATTGCAATCAAACATGTGGGTTCCATAAAAGAACATTAATGATGAAATTCCATTAAAGCTTACACCACTCCCATAATAGTCCAATTACTTTTATAGCACATGTAAACATTTTCAAAGAACTCTAGATCAAAGGACCACTTCAGCGTCGATTTAGACTTATAGTCGATTAATCGACGTAAAAATCGATTTGAACCGACGCAGGCGCAGTCAGAGTTTAAATATAACTGCTATTTTGGGAACGCGCGTGCTGTGAGACTTTGTCAGCTAAGAGAATGGCGAGGATTTGGTTAACGTTTCTGGTAACTTGATTGGTAATAAGCACGAAAACGTACCAATAAATAGTAAAATTCATGAATTGATAATTAATTGAAAACTTGACAATGAATAACGAATGTTGAAAATGAAAATTCAGTAGGTTGCGTTGTTTAACAAGTTTATTACGTTAGGAGAATCTATTTCGCATCGAAACATTAAATTGTTTAAAATTAATGCATGCCCAAATTGCAGTCACATTGCACTAATTTTGGTAGCAGAAGAGTCCCTTGTGAAAGAGTTCGTCCAGGCCACCTTACCTATTTCTACCGCAAAGCAGTAATATGAGCATCACTGCGTTCCAGTTTTGAAGGTTACGGGTGCTGGTGAAGACACATATGGGACTTGTCAACTTATGTCTCGGGGTAACAGACGTAGTAGCAGTGCATCTCAGATGTTTGTGATTAAAAGTTCTGAGTGGCACTGTACATTTTTTCACATTACAAGGAAAGAAGCATCGTGAAGACTTTATTTATTAACATTTCCAGGATCTTCAAGACTTGGACTACGCCAATGACGCGAACGAGGAGTGGGACGACATTGAGCCAGACAGTTCCACGGTCAAACCACTAAGCCTCGCGAGACCAGACCCCGGGTACCGCGAAGAGGTCATTTCTGCAGCTGATGCAATTGCTGCTACTAATGAGAGGCCAAGAATTTTGGATGATTGTGAGTTTTTCAATATTCTTTTAGAGGTCGATGATAATTTTAATGTTTTATTTTCAATCACAAAACTTTTGTATATGTTCTAGCATCAATGTCGTTGAAAGAGCAAACGGCGCTGCGGCAAGCAGCGTATGCGCACATGCGTAACATGGTGCGAGCCAGCAAGTGCCTGACGCCGCAGCCGCGATGGTTGAATGTCCGGCAACTGGCGCCTGCCGCGGACACTATGTGAGTTGTAACAAAGTAAAGCTGTTATTATCATAAACAACTGCAACCCTTTGGCTAAAAGTGAAATGAACCTGTTTCAGCAGCCAAGTAGTATAAATAACGCACACACTCAGTAAGAAGTAAGTAATGCGAGTATTATACTGTATTATGGGTTTGAAGGGTAATGAGACAGTGGCAATGCCTCTCAGATCTTTGCGATTTAAAGCTCTGAGTACCATTGCAATTGTTAAGGATAGGCGTCTCGCTTATCATCAGGACCACGGCTTGCTGATTCACTCCGAAATTTGGGGATGGATTCTTAAGAACGCTTTCTTGTAATTATATAGCGATTCAAGTACGCAGCCTTATTGCCACGTTTCAAGATTCCACCCTTTATGAGTCTTCAAGTTTATAAAGTTATGACGTTTGACCACCAAGATATTTTCAATTGTTTTTATTATAGTTTGTTATAATTATTAATGCAAAGATCGGACACTAAGAAAAATATCCTCGATCCGGCTGGATTCGAACGTCTTCTAGCAACCCGTGGCTGACGTTATGCCAATTAAGCCACGGAACGAACTAGCGGACTTTACGATTTTTCTATGTGCTTGTTGCAGAGATCTTTGTTTTTGGTTTTTAACGACTTTATGATCTGCGAGAAAAAGTATAATTTCTCTGGGTTAAAGCATTTGTTCTCATAGCACGAATGGTAAAATTTTTATTCTCTGTTATTTCTAGGTACATGCCACCGTGCGTAGAGCTGCACCGCTGTGCACCTGACAGTGGGTGTTGCTATAATGAGGATCAAGTGTGCGCACCGGTTGAAGGCAAATATGTCACGCTCTCTTTGTATGTAAGTTCAGAGTTACTGAAATTTAGGAGGTCACAGCTTGGCAGACTATAGCCTAAACTCTTAGAGGAAATTCTGGCCCAGCAGTGAGATATAATAATGGATTAATGATGATGATCTGACAGAAAACTCTTGCTTTTTATGTAATAAATAAAAAAATCTGTCCCTTTTCAGGGTCAACTCCGATTTTGATAGTATTGCCCGATCAAATCCAACTAAATCTAAGTTTATGGTTCTGGGTTCAAAAAACCAGGTTGTAAGCATTCTTTCACACAATCCTAGGATTAGTATTCTTGGATCATCAGTCGAATTTGTCAACCAGGCCAAAAATTTAGGTGTCACTGTGGGCAGTGGGTTGTGATTTGTGAGTCATGTAGAGTATATTGACAGATCTTGCCTCTTTCGACGAAAGATATAAAATTCGTCATTTACTCAGTGAAGACATTAGATTAAAAATGTGTGAATCCCTTATTTTGTCAAAATTGAATTATGCGGATACAGTTTTCGGTCCCTGTCTTCTCTCTACCTAAAAAAAATTAATACAACGTGTTCAAAACGCCTGCATTAGTTTCTGTTACAAAATTCCACCGAGGAGTTACATAACACCTTTGCTAGGTATTCTTAATATGGAATCTAGAAGGACTTTGCATTTTTCTACTTTGATGCACTCTGTTGTTAGATACAAAAATCCACCTTCTATATGCCGAGTTAAAATGGCGGATTTATTCCTATAATTCACGCAGAGTTAATAGTTTTTTATTGGTAACGCCATTCCATAAAACAAGAGCCTTTGAGGGGTAGCTTCCGGTATCAGGCATCTAAATGCTGGAACAATCTGCCTCCTCCACTTAGACAGCCAATCTCAAAATTCGCATTTAGAGAAAGTATGAAAAATCTATTGATAGAAAACCAGCGTAAGCTCTGATGCCGGATGTTTCTAACTCTTGTCTTCTAACTTATTTATATTTATGTATATTTACTTGTAGATATGTATGTATACATGTATCACACGTGTATTGTAAATGTGTAGTGTGGCATAAAGCAGAGGATACACAGAGCATGTACCATTTCCTTAGGTCTCAACCGACGCTGAAACAGGAACGACTGAAAATCAGCGTCTGTCTCGTTGGAGATAGACATATTGCTGAGTGGTATCCTTTTCTTCTTTTGCGCCACTATACACACTTACTAATTTAAAACGCAGCTATTTGTTTTAGTGTTACGTATTAGATTTAAGTGCATATAGTGACTCAATTTAATGAATAAACGTTTTTCTTTCTTTCTTTCTAAATACGATGAATACCTCGCTTAATAACGTAGACCTCGTTGCTGAGGTCTCCGGTGATCAAGAGAATTTTCTTAGGGTTGAAGTGGAACAGGCAAGCGCGAGATGACACGTACTAAGTCATCGAAATTTCTTTCCGGTTTTTATGGTGTCCTTGTAATAATTTATGTCAAAGTCAACCTGAAATAATCTTTATTCATAACTAAGCAAATTGTACTTGAAATCGTCGTACTGATTAAACTCTACTGCTAATTCGTAAGATAGATGCCCCTGAGAAGAATGAGCAAGAAACTCCAGGGGTTGCTCTTTGTAACTATACATTTGAATACATTTATATTACAATATTTAATTTAAACATCTTTGATCAAGACTACCTGCAAGACCTAAACGGGTCACTACCATTGACTCTTGTCATCCAAGTACGCAGAAGCTGTATGTACCTACCTTTAGCATAAAGTTTTTGTTTCACTATAGTTTTAAACCTCGTAAATGGCAAATTTTGCATATCAATCAGAATCTTATTATAGAAGCGTATACATTACCCCATATGAATTTGATACTTTGTGAAGACGACTGTCAAAAACAGCTAGTTTATTTTTATTCCTCGTATTAATGTTATTCATAGTATTTTATTATTATACTTTTTCATTTCGAACATTTCAGCTGACAAAAGCAGATGGTAACGTCTCTCCATCTCGAATGTTGTTCTTCAACCACACGCGCTGCGCATGCGTCTCTCGCGACACTTTACAAACTACAGTTCGCACCAGGTCCGTGCACAATTACCGGGTGGAAAGGGTCAACCCTGCTGCGAAAGAGACCGCGATTGTTTCGTCAACCAGTGCTAGTAAAGAGAAAGAGGAATGGAGATCCACGGAGGAACCTAGATTGGAAAGAGACGAAGAACCTACGTCACCGCCGCAGTTGAGAAGGTGAGTTTTCGGCAAGCAGAAGAAAAACATAATTTCTTTGCGACAAAGGGGCTAATTAAGTTTCTTTATTCTACAGAGCCTAAATTTTTCACGTAAACCAGTTAAATGCCAATTACCAACGTCATATCTAACTTTTGTTCCAACTCCTTCAAAGTTACAAGAATCAAACTGTGGAATTCCCTGCCTGAATCGATCAAATGCGTTACACGTTAAGTCTGTTGAGTCTATCAAAATTTTACTCAAAGCTCATTCATTACCTTACACTCTAATTATTATTTTCTCCTATTCTTACCTTTTTCAATTTTATGTATAGTTATTATTATTGTTTATACTTATAATCTTACTTTTAATTAATATAACTGTTATATTCTTAATTTATGTTTTAATATAACTATATATATACTAATATAACTATTTTATTTATTTATTAGATATTATTTCATTTATGTAAGTGCAATTTGTGTATTATACAGGGTTATTTTTGAAATACTAACAACCTCTATACTAACAACCAGAACTATATTATTACTAATATCATAAACAACAACTTTTGTTTCATGAGGTTTTACAAACCATAATAAATTTGCTAAAATAATCTCAGTACAGAGTAATAAAAAAAACCGATCTCAAAAGTACGCGGAATTACATATAATTACCAAGTTTTACTGAAATCGGTTACCGGAAAGTGCGCAAACCCGGATTCATCCCCTAGTTCGCCACTATACGGAACACAGGAGATAATGAAAATCGGTTCTCACTACTCAAAGAACATTGAGAGAGAAAAACACCTTGAATTAGAGAATAGCAAACTCAAACCATTAAAATAATTGCTCCTTATAATAAAATTTAGGCACTATTTATAAAAATGAATCTTCATACGTGAACAGCCACTCTTAGAGGTGGATAATTTTCTTCAAAATTCAATGGGACCACTATGGAGGTACCCTCTTTCCAACAAAAAAAGAATCATGAAAATCGGTTCACAAATACCGGAGTTTTCGCGTAACATACGTATTAAAAAATACAGTCGAATTGAGAACTCCTCCTTTTTTGAAGTCGGTTAAATAAGCTTTTAAGTTTTCAGTGATACTTTTTAGATATGTAATTGGTAGAATAAGTTCAAACGTGAAAGCGTCCTCTGCGACGACTCCCACCCCCGTTCTGCATAGAGCTATTACCGTTTAGAGCGATCTATTTAAATAACACTAGTTTTAGGAACGAAATTGTTGTTTATGGTAAAGATCGAACACTTAGAAAAAATTGCTTCGATCTGGCTGGATTCGAACCGACGTCTTCTGCCATACCGTGCCAGACGCTATACCCACTAAGTCACGGAACGAACCAGCGGTCCTCACGTCCTCGTGTCTTTGCGTTTCGTTTTTCAACGACTTTTTAGCCGTAGCGCCACCTATGAGAAATCTGTGTAAGTATTTCGTCACCCAGTTAAGTACCTTTATAGCTACCAGCCCCAGCTAGAGATGTCGCTATTCACTATATTTAAATTTTTATTGAATTGATATTATATTGTTTTTTATGTGAAATTACTCCACAAGTTAGTAATAATATAGTCCTGCGAGATTGTCAGTATTTTAAAAATGCGCCCTCAATTATTTATTATTTTGTAGTTTTCCTGTTACTCAAAGATTGCCTGGTAGAAATCTATCAATAAGGCCTCCTGTTCTACCCGTCTTTTTTTTGTATTATAAAATACTTGTCTCAGTGTGCGATAAAGAATATTTGTATACCTAACATAATTTTCTATCTTCTTTCATTCCCACCATTGCGTTGTACTTGTCTTACAGATGCACCTGTCCCGCCCTGTTCATCGCGCGCATATCCGACGCCGGAGATTGCTCTTGTGTGTGCAAGTGGCCAGAGCCCCACCGCCGCCGCGACTGCTTGTCGCTGGCCCAAGGCCGCGAGCACTTCGGCCTAAGGGACCGGGTGTGCGTCAACCACGGCGACTGCACGCCGCCCAGCTGCGAGTACGGCAATTATGAGAAGAAACTCGGAAGATGTCCACAGCGGAGGTAAAGGAGATATTTTTCAAGGTTCGAGTCTATGTAGTTTTGATACCTTAATATTATAGGCTTTTGTTTGCTTCGGGTACATCATTTGTGTGTGCGCTTTTGTTTTTTCAAAGACATACATACGTACATTTTATAAGGGCGTTTGCGCGCTGCAACCAATTAATATTCGTTCCGAATGCGAGATTGTACAATATCTAGAAAACTCGATCTCTCGATCTCCGTCGGACATCCGTCCGAAGCAATTACTGTCAAATAAGTAATATTCGACAAAATGAAAAGACAAGTATCCAGTATGAAGCTTCATTCGCAACACGCGTCTTTTCATTTGGTCAAGTATTGCTTACTTGGCAGTAATTGTTTCGGACGGATATCGAGAGTAGACCCCCTGATACAATTCGGACGTAGTGCGCAAGCGCTCTCCTTTTTCTCATCGGCTATCGTGTCCAACCGAAACACCGAGACTGTAAGGTTCAATACAGTGTTTTGGAATTTCATAACAGCAAGAATCTTTCGGCAGTTATAAAGGAAAAGAAATGTATGTTTTTATGTTATTAACTTAAAAAATTACAAAAAACCGAAAAATCCTTTCCGCAGCTTTTTCTCAAAATGCTGTTTTCGTTGTAAGCTCATTGATAAAGGTTAACCTTGACCCGGCTTTTCTTTCAAAGAAAAATGATAAAAGGCCAACGTTGGCCTGTTTGGGACTGACACCTAATTACCTGCAGTAACTTGGTAGAACACAGCAAATAGCATTAAATATTAGATTTTTAAATTGAGGGCCTGGTGGTAAGCGACACGTCCGTAACAGTTGCAGCGCCACTCAAGAGTTTTTAATCGCAAATACTGATACATAAGTTGACAAGTCCCACATGCCTGTTATCACACCAGCACCCTTCAAAACCGGATCGCAATAATGCTCATATTACTGCTTGGCGGCAGAAACAGGTAAGGTGGCAGTAAGCAGGTAGGGTAACTGCCTCCGTGGCCCAACGGTTACCATGCCGGACTGCCACGCAGAGGTCCCAGGTTCGATTCCCCGGCCAAGAGAAATATTTGTATGGCCTACATTTATTTCTCTCGTGAGTTTGTGTCTAATTTGTGGTTGTCTATGTTTGTGTCCATGGCACCCGCGACACAGGGTTTCCCTAGTGCGGGGCTATGTTGAGTGTTTGCGTTATTACTATTATTACTTATTACTATTACAGTACGGCCCTGGACGACTCCTTCACAAGAAGTTCTACTGCGACTAAGTAATATTATATAATAATATTTAAATATATTATGACAACATCACATAAGTTGCTCTGATTACAAAATAAGTAGCTTGTACTTTAAAGCACATGTGTTATGGAAATCGGAAATAACGATGGTACCACAAACATCCATACCCGACGTAATATAGAAAAGTTAGTTTTTCTACATTGATCCGGCTGGGGGTCGAACCTGGGACCTCAGAGGCGGCAACACGAAACAAAAACCGGTGCGCGAGCCACTCGACCACGGAGGACGTCAAATAGTTATTTTCACCTCAGCAGCTCGAACAAGGCTATTTTGCTGTGTGAAATCAGTGAGCAAAATCTTATTTTGCTCACTCCGTGAGAAAAAGTAGCTTTTTGCTTTTTAAGTGGAGACTTGTCAATTAATGCGAAGGGGTCTAATACAAATTCGACATATTTCAAAATCAGTCGCTCCGTCCCTTTCACTTCATTACAAGAAAAAGGAAAAAGAAAATTATGGTTTATTCGTACTTCGATATTTAAGCTACATAGTAGACCCCCACAAAATGGCTGAACGAGTGCACGTTCGGAAACTCGTCAATTCATCTAAAAGATAAATTATGTGAGAAATACAAATACGATTTTATACTATGATAATTTAGTTTTTACAATTTTCATTAAAAATAAAGCAAGTGTTGCAATAAAAATATGCTAAATTTATAACGTCAATTAAAGATAACAATATTTACAATGTGTGATTTCAATGAATACAAGCGAGAACGTTCCGGAACGCAATAAATAAAAGCGCGCTTTCTTTTTTTTTTAATTCAAAATTTCTTATTTGCTTGCGATAGGTACTTCTTTGATAGTTAATTGGATACCTACCTACGTAATAAAATAGAAAATATGAGCGATTCCAGTGAAGACGACAATTTTTTAACTCCTCCAGAGTTAGTTGAAACTCTTAAAAATGCTGAACTAAGTTTCTTGCCTAGTAAATCTCGTGAAAAGTACCTGAAAGTCTACGAACATTTTGACAAATGGAGGCACGAAAAGGGCGCAGGAAACACTATGTCGGAAACTGTGCTTCTGTCTTATTTCATTGAAATGTCGCATACAAAACAGCCGTCAACGATGTGGAGTATATTATATTCGATGTTGAACGCTACATTACAAACTAAAAATAACGTCCATATAAACACTTACGCAAAGCTGATTGCGTTTTTGAAAAGATCGGCCGTCGGCCACAAATCAAAAAAATCGAAAGTTTTCACGGCTGCTAATATTGAAAAATTTCTTAATGAAGCTCCAGATTGCACTTTCCTAGCCGCAAAAGTAAGTATTGAATATTATTACTGTTGTCGTAGCGTTATATTTTAATTGTTAATACAATTTGGACTTTGGTAGTTATGTTATCAATTTCTATCAACATAATTATACTTACCTACTTAAATGTGTTGTTTTGGCGACTTGTATTGGAACTTTATGGTTAAAAATAACGCTACATATTATGAGAAATCCACGTTTAAGACTGCTCTAAAAGACACAATACTTATTGACGTTTTATTTATGTTTCAGGTCATCCTTATCATTGGAATAAACGGAGCATGCCGCTCCAACGAGTTATTGAATCTAACTCCTAATGCCATTGAACAACATTCCAGCGACCTTCTTTTGATTAACCTGCCAAATACGAAAACAAATATAGACAGGTCGTTCGTCGTCCGTGAGGAATACGCACACGTTGTCCAGAAATATAAAGCATTGCGCCCTCCCAATACGATCACAGACCGCTTTTTCATACAATATCGTAATGGAAAATGTACGCGGCAATCGATGGGTATTAATAAAATAGGAGCGACTGCACGAGAAATCGCAACATTTTTAGATTTGAAAGAGCCGCAGCTATACACTGGCCACTGCTTCAGGCGAACATCAGCCACTCTTTTGGCAGATGGAGGAGCTGACCTCACAACGTTGAAGCGCCATGGCGGTTGGAGATCAAATACAGTGGCTGAAGGATATATCGAAGATTCAATAGAAAATAAATCAAAAATCTGTAAGCGTATTATAGATTCGATAAACCTAAAACAGACTTCGCATTCTTGGGCACAACCTAGCACCTCCAGTGATGCGAATCATACCCAAACCCGCCCAGAATCACCAACTTTTACGGTGCGGGAAGGGTCACAATCCAGCTCAACTCATAATGAAACCTCGACCACTACTCAAGTAGCAAACACTACGACGATTACTGTTCCAAATAAAACAGTAACTTTTAATCTACAGAATTGTACAAACTTCACGTTCCACTTTTAATTTTTTGTAAATTCTGTATTTTTGTAAATATACAATGATGCATTTGCTTTCATGACGTGTTTTTATTACTTGTCCCTTTAGTATATATATATATGTTCTCGCTGCTGAGGTGAAAAGTTGTATGTATCACGCGAGAGCAAAGTTATTTTGCAGCTCGTATTTTTGAGTCCCTCGCTTCGCTCAAGATTCTAATTCTGAATCACTCGCTACGCTCGTGATTCAACTATAGACTCTTTCGCTTGCTCAGGACTCAAAAACAGCACTCGCACCAAAAAACGACTTTGCTCTCTTGTTGAACAAATAACTATTGCAAGGCTGCAAAGTTGTTGTTTGAGACGAGCGCCTGTATTGAAACCTGAGACTGAACCACGAGCGAAGCGAGTTCCTGATATTCCTGAGCGTAGCGAGGGTTTCAAGACACGAGACGCAAAATAACTTTGCTGCCGAGCGAAAGACACAACTTTTCACCTCACTATGGCGAGGAAAATGGTAGATGAAAGAAAAACAGTTGAAGTATAACATCAGTTGTTTTATAATCAAAAGAAAAAGCTTACCTTCATTTTGCACCTCATCAATTTTTATTCTTGCTTCTAATTTTGTGTGATTAAAAATAAAATAAAAACAAAACATTATTTATTTCAGAAATCATCCGTAGCAATATTAGTTCTTCCATGAATTACACAATTAGTTATCATTGTCATTTTAATGTCAACAATAATAAGAATAAAATATACCACGGATTTATGTTACATAAATAAGTAATGTACAACAAATCGCGTAGTTGAACGTGTCATTGTCTTTATTTTCATCGAAAGAAAAAAATTTGGTGCACCACAGTCCATCGTCAAGTTCGAATTTCAAAAAAGAAAAGACTATTTCTTAAGAACCAGTATTTTTGAATCAAGTGGTTAATGAGTAACTTACTAAACCTTACCTCTCTAGTAATTGATATAACAGACACCGTGAGCTACATCTTTTAGTGAAAGAGCCATGTAGGTACCCACATGGACATGAAACTCAAGATAAGACGAAGAAATGCCCAATCGGAAAATCTAAGGAACGTAAGTGATCAAAATTACTTTTGCTTTTGCTTCAGATACAGAAGAATACGACACCGCAGAACGAGGTACCAGACACAGTCAGTAGGCTGATCGGTTATTAAGTCTTTTGTTTCATATTTGTTTTACTTAATAGATTCGAGAAACCTGTGACGTATTGCAAAGAAATCATTCGCTGGTTTATAAATAATTACCTACACATGTAAACTTCAAAATACGAAACATTGTTTTGGAGTATCGTTATGACATTAATCGAATCTTTACTCTGTCAAATAAATTGCTGTCAAGTAATCCCACTTTTCGTCGGGGATAGAGCCATTCCGTGTAACTAGCATTGGATAATACCGCGTATCTGAAACATGTAGCCAATTTGATTTTTGCATGCTAGTACTCGTAGTTATATGATTGGGACCCGGCTGCTTCTTAACGCCAATTGCGATTGACTAACAGAAAGCCAGAAATTGGTGAATAACAATATGCCTTACCAACACCGCGTAACTTACGCAGTTCGCGGCCAAATCATATTCGCGTAAATGACGTGGCAAGTAAATTAACAAGATTTACGGCAATCTGTTGTTAGCAGTACGTTGCAAATATAAATTAATGTTTACTGTGTCAAAACTAATAGCAATTGAAATAACAAAGTAGTAACGTTAAAACCTTCTCTTGTAAAATTTGGTTTGGCCTTTTACCAATGCTACTTACGCGGATTTGTACAATCCCCGACGTTTTAGAATGCATAGAATGAAAAAAAAAATTACCGTTAAATAGAATGTTGTGTTTATTTGGCTAAAATGTTAGAGTATTATTAGTTATTGTATGTATTGTGTTTCTAGATTTCACATTATGGTGTGTCTTCGACATTCAGAGCGTGATTGTCGAGATCCTATTTTTAATTTCCTTTGAGTTCGGTTAAGTAGGTGCTGTAGGAATCGTGCCATATTGAAATAAAGCTATATTTAATACCAATTAGTTTTTAAAAAAGGTACAATTGTTTAAGTGATTTGTGCATTATTTTTGTATTATTTAGTATGTCTGCTATTATGCTGGATAAATGTACTACTCGTATACGTAGATATTTTATGAACTATTAATTTTTTAACTCTATCATATCCGTATGAGTAGCTTATTATTATAAGTTGATACAGTTAGGTGAACGATCCTAGTTATGTAGTTGCGATAAATAATTAACATGATCTATTACGGTACCTCCACGTATTTATTTCTTCTGAGAGCTTTATAGTAAGTAAATACTTCTAAAGTAGATGGTAAGTTGCAATGTTATCAATCTGTATGGGAGATAGCAAAATTTTAAAGATATTTAAAATATACAATTTTATAGAAATATTGTATGTGAAAAAATAACATAGATTATAGAATATTTACAGATTTGCAGGGGGAAAGGAAAAATTGCAATGCTAAACAACCCCTAACGGTGTGCGGGTTTTATTAAACATTTTACTGATGTATGAAATCATGTACAACTGCCTACTCCAATAGACGATTGGTATCAATAAATTAAAAAAGAAATTTGAAATAGTGTGTTGTTTGACGCCAGTGCTTGTCTTGAAACCTGAGCCAGTGAAGGAGCCGAAGATTGAACCACGAGCGAAGCGAGTCTTTCATAAATAAAATCCAGAGCATAGCGACAAAGCACGAGACGCAAAACAACTTTGTTGCCGAGCGAAACACAACTTATCACCTCACTACAGAACAAATCAGTTTCAATAAACAAAACTACTTAGTTATCGTTGTCAATTTAACGTCAGCAATAATAAGAATAAAATATACCAAGGATTTGTACTCGTATTGCGTAAATAATGTACGACTAATCGCGTAGTTCAACGAGTTCTTATGTTTTTTTTTTTCATCGGAAAAACGCTTTTGGAAGAAAGCCCTTTCGCGCTAGTGAGGTGAAAATTATCTTATTATATATGTATGCGATGACATGATGTGGATATTTTAATTAGTTTAATTTAATCAATGCATTTGTGCGACTATGTGAATTGATGACATTCTATTGTAGTCGAATTATTAATTTCAATTCGACTATTGACTTACAAATAAATGGACGACGGGTCTAATACAAAAACCACGAAAAAAATGTCCCATGTCAACCTATTTAAACGTAGTGACATGTACAGGAATATGAAAATGCTAAAACGTTGAATTTAGATTGTAATGTCTTCGCAGTACTGTCTAATTTTACTTGCTTCGCTGTCAGTCGAACAAACGAAGACTAAAGCGTGAATGACGCTCTGTGTACGATTTTAACGCCCTATAAGTTCGGACACTTTTTAGCGCGGACCCGACGTCCATATAATTGTAAGTCAATGAATTCGACATATAAATTATTCGACGTACAATCGAGGGTTTCGGGCAATCTAAATTTAAGTTAAGCTTAGTCGGTATCAATAGAAAAAATTGAAAATAATTTTAGTTGAGATCTGTCAAATTATTGGCCCCATTGACTACTCCATAATTGCAGCATTGCATGCAGGTGCATCACGCATCTATAATTAGCCGTCAAAATTTGACAGCCCTAAACTAAATTTTAACTTCGTTTTTTTAAGGCGATAGATCACCAACTTAAATTAAGGTCAGGTCGCTCTTATCCGATGCTAATGTGTACTTATTTATGTATACTAATTAATTATAAGTGAAAAAATTCAATGTTAAAATGTTGTAAGTTGTAAATAAAAGTTTTGATTTAATAAATAATTTTGTACTTATTTGAGTGTTTTTTATTTTTGGGTTCTAACTGAAAGTTAGTGTAGTGGAAATGCAACCATGCAAATTAACTTTGTTGTTTTTTCTTTTGTGAAGGAAATAAATTAGCAATTTAACTTTATATCTTTATTTGTTGTGATTTTATTTTATATAGGTATTTTTTTCTTTTTCTTCTTACGTTTGAATTTTTCTTTGATGCTTTAATTTTTATGTCTAAATGTTCTTGTCCTATTTTCTAAGTATTTCGTTTATTTAGTTTACGTTATTTTAGTTCGTATTTTCAACGAATTATTGTCTATTATACTAGAATTATTTCACAACAACAAAATACTACGCAATTGGTACAAATATTTACATAAGAATTAACAATTTACTCAGATGCAACTATGAAAGAGGTGTATTGTTCTACGTAATTCTGGTAAAGCCAGTGCCCGTTTCTATGACATTGTACAGCTTTGTTGACTAATTGTAATTTATTATATTTGCCTAAATGTCTAGATAATGGTTAATAACAAAATTAAATAAAGTTTGAGCAATTCCATCGTAGACCCTATGTTTGCTCCAGGTAGGGCTGAGCAAAATACATGCTACATCTTAATTGAAATAGAAATTATAAAATATTTCCTTAAATGTATTTAAAATACAAAATACTTTCATGGGGTGTATTTAAAATACAAACTACAAATACAAATTACAAAATACTTTATTAGTATACCTGTCGCGACATGTAGAAACCAACAATTTCCTTCAAAGCTTTTTCCTGGAAAAGAAGTTTTAAATATTCAGTTTTACTAGAAAAAAACTGTTAAACCAATCAATACAACCATACTACAGAGCACGACGTACGTATAATTGTTATTAATATTCCCATACATGACGAATGCTGTTTAAACGTGTAAATGCCGTTCATAACACGTTCACAACACAAATTAGCCGCTCACGCGATACGCTATCCCCATCTTATCTTAACTCCCTTTTTCACTAGTGTATCAATGACGTCACATTTTTATTTCACATCGCACACACATACATCGTCACTTAGATTTTTACGTTAATCGAAAGTTAATGAATTATGCGTACAATTACAAATGTAAATTGTAAAGTAACACTTAATAATTATATTTTAATTTCGTAATAAAAACCGGCACGCGTCAGCTGTTTACACGAACTCGCGCAACTAAAGTTGCAACCAGCCTTTTGATGTTTAGGCGCTCCACAAACAAATTTTAAGTATTGCTAAGCCGCGCCCTCTGGGGATAGATTAAGGTATGGGTGTGTTGTGTATTTGCTGTGTATGTATCTGTTTGTGTATGTGTAATAAAATGAGTATATAATAAAATAGGTAGGTACTAAAGTAACACAATCTTAACGTGCTTAATGGTGACATGCCAAACACAATTTTGTACTAACTGCTAATAAATCACGAATTGTACAAATTCAGAATTTGAACAGATGGCGACGTTTTCGATTGAATATTTAGTTGTACCTACTTACGCAGAATCAAGAACATAGCTAAAGTGGACGATGCCTTAACCATTTGTACGTCCAGGAAAATCGTCCCTTGTTTACCGGTGTTTTTTATTGTTTGCATTAGGAGCCGCGATAACGCGCGTGTAATATAAACACTTGAAACTCGAGAACTAAGCTACGGCAAAAAAATAACATGAGCGATAAAAGCACTTAAGTAGCTTTTGTTTAGACTTCATTTATGATTGTAATTAGACGACTTTAACTTCCGAGTACACTGAACACTTCTGAGAAACTTTCATAGTATTTTACGTTTTAACTCTAAACCACTTTATATATTCATTTTATTAAGAAACAAAATATATTTAAAGGTGACGATTAACACTAGAAACGTATGAAAATACTACTAATTCACAGGAATAAATCACACTTTATTTTCCATTCTGTCTTACTTATTTCTCTCGTGAGTTTGGCTTTTACTTGTGGTTGTCTGTGTGTGTGTCCATGGCATAAAACTTGGCATAACACTTTACTATGTTTAAAATAAATTAAAAACAGTCGCGGGTAGTGGTGGAATTCGCGGAAAATTTACGAAAATGGCGTAAAACAACTGCAAGTCGCGAGGAAGAAAATTAACGAATCCTACCAAAATTCACAATGCAACGACGTAAAATGGTTTTAATACAACCTATATTGAATAGTTTTGTGTTTGAGTGATATTTTACTTACAAAATTAATTTAAGCACCTTAATCAGGCCGATTTTTCATCAGCTTTGTCTGGGAAAAATGTGTGAAAGCTCTTTGATCATAAGCATTGTTTGCTGGACGGTAGTAGGTATACCAAGCAGGGTGATGGATGAAGTGAGGGTAGGTGAGGTAAATAATCAAGACAAGCAATACAGTGGCACCACTCGGTACTGAAATAAGGGGTTCGTAACTCAGATGCGTTGCGAGAGGCACTTCTATAAATTCAAACTGTAATAATCTTCAAAATATACTTTATTTCACTTTTTTTACATAATTTTAGTATTGCGTTACAAATCAATCTCTCTGTCTGTCAAGATTTTCTATTCTTACTTATTTCATTTCTTCGAAAGCATTCTAAATACAAACTACCTCATTCAGCCAGAGATTCTACTCATAGAGTACAGCCTAGTCTACAGTACCAACACATTTATAACAACCACTATTAGCGGATTACATTAATAATAATAATAATAAATAAAATTGTTTATTGAATAATTTATTGTACAAATGAATAACAAGAGAATTTTCTTAACCTTTATGTAACAAATATGGCTAATTTGGCGTTTAATTTATTGTACAAAAGTGGCCCAAGAGATAAAATAAATCTAAAAATAAACACGTTTTGATGATACATTTCTTTTCTTTCAACAACAAAATTAATAATACTAATAACGCACACACTCAACATAGCCCCGTACTAGGAAAACCTTGTGAACCATAAATTACTCCCAAACTGACGAGAGAAATAAATGCAAGCCATACAAATATTTCTCCCGGCCCGGGAATCGAACCTGGGACCTCTGCGTGGCAGTCCGGCATGGTAACCGTTCGGCCACACAGGCAGTTAATTCATTAATCCATACACGGAACACTTTGTATTCACAATTTTGTTTATCAAGTTCCACGCTATTCGTAAATTACGATGGGCAGTGGTCCATTGTAATTTACGAATAGGACCATTGCACACTTACGCCGCTACGTTGGGGCCATTGTATGTAAGCTAATTGGCCTAACTTAAAAAAAAATCTAACTATCTAACCAGTCCAACTTCCGCCAGAAGAGCATTAGCTGGTTCAGGGCCGGCTTTGCTGCTAAGAGAGACCTTGCTGTACCAAGAGTTTTATGCCATGGACACACACACAGACAACCACAAGTTAAAACCAAACTCACGAGAGAAATAAGTAAGACAGAATGGAAAATAAAGTGTGATTTATTCCTGATCGCGAGTTTCACTAAAAACAAAAAAAACACCCACCACTAAAAACAAATAAAATTTTTGCGTAAAGCTCACATTAACTAGCATTTTGAGTGTAGTTTTAGTTACATATTTTTATATACGAAGTATTAACTGTTATTTTACACACAAAATTAATCACAAATATAAAAATTATTAAATACAAATGTAATATATTATTCTATTATAATTGATTTAAAATTTGTAATGTAATATTATTTTGTAGAAAATGAAATCAATATTTACATAATGTAATCATGAACAGGACTGGCAATGGCCTGATTGAGTAGTAAAGTTTCGAAGCTGCTTTTTTTTAGAAATATTTATGTTAGATATGTCTTATTCGACGTAATTATATTATCAATTAATTAATCAAATTCATAAAAAAACGCTACTTACGGAATGTTTTCAATAAATAAATACCTAAATTACCAGCCCAAACAATCACACTCACACGATTGTCCTGACGTATTTTTGAAGTTGTTTATTTTTTTAATATGACAGGCCCAGACATTAAAAACTTTATGGTTTGCTAGAGTAGTTACCGAAATAGCAATTAATATTAGTTCTTTTACCTGTTATAACTTCGATATCCGATAAATCGATATAAAATCAATACCACCTTTAGGTGTGCTATGCTTACAGAGACGCACGAATCAAATAAAATCAAAAAATAAAAAATCATTTATTCTCAGACAACTACAGTCCATATTTTACAGTTATAATATTAGCTTAGATAATTAGAATAATTAAACAAATTAAATTAAATATCAAATAAATCATCGACATGGTTTTAAATGCAGTTTCATGCAATGTAGCATGATCGGGCAATCCACTCTACCAGCCACAACGCGCAGAATCTCATTCGTGCCGCAACGGATACGACTTATTAATGAGGCAGCTCTCTTTCTAAGGATAGCATGGAAACCATCCGTGGGCATCCGCGAACATGCCTGATGCGCTGCAGTACCGTGGCAAACCCAATAAAACCCTGAACGCGTTGTTGTACTGAACGCGCAGGGCGTTGATTGTCTTCTGCGTAAAGTTGACCCACAGATTACACGTATAAGAAGCATCGTGAATCGCGCAACCCTCTTTGGCGGAAAGATGGTTCACTAAAAACATTCACGATGCCGTATAACCCTAGAACCCTGCTACTCTAAGTTATAACCGCGAAAAGATGACTTTGACGTATTTGACAATACCATGCACTGTTGCTACCTGCAAATGTGCTTCTACTGCATTAAATACGAGTATTTAAGATGTCGTGAATGTTGTGTGTCGGTCTAGTGAGAACCCTAGTGCACAAATAAATAATAAAGATAAAGTGCGGGTAGTTAGAAAAACTCGCACGGCTAGAAGATGCTGACACCCGCCTCTTCGGTCCCTTCGAGACCATGGACGTTGCAATATGTCCGAAACGTCGAGGTAAATAAAATATGTTATACGTGATTAAGTCCCGAATTAAAAATCAAATAATGTCATACTTCATTTTTCGAACGTTCCGTTTTACACACATACACACACACACGTCACCATTGAGTTCAGCATCATATAAATCTATGCACGTCTCATAATAGGCTGTACATTGAAAAAAAAAGTATTTTGTTAATATGTATTTTACAACGAAAGTATTTGAAATACAAATTACAAAATACATTTTTAGGGAGTAATTGAAATACAGATACAAAATACGTATTTGTATTTTAAATACGTATTTCAAATACAAGTAATTCAAATAATTTTAATTAGTAGTTTTAATTAAATAGTTTTAATCATTATAATTATGTTTTAACTTTTGTTGTAAGTCCTGTATTTTAGTTTAAAGTTTATAATATTCTATTTTAATTTTAAGATCATGTGTGTCTCGGTGCTTACGCAATAAAGTATTCTTATTCTTATTCTTAAACACTGCCCAGCCCTGCCTCCAGGATTACTATGGAACGAGCTCGCCCAGAAGTAGCCTATTCAATCGCACCTTAGTGACACTCTGCATGGTTGTATGTACTTGGAAACACAGTCGCAGACAGGGAATTCCATTTTTGGGCTGGGCGCATAATAGAAAATGACAGAAAGCGTATTAGTATGAGGGGAATATCGCCCAAGTAGTGATGATAAGTAGAGATGTCATGGGCACACTTACCGAAGTATATTCTGTGGAAAATTAACAGACTGACAACTTTGCGCCAGTGGGTTAAATTATAAAGTTTAGATTCGAGCTTAGCGTTGTCAATAATCGTTATTTGCAATTGTCCATCTGTATTTGTTTCAGGAATGGTCGGTCTTGAAACTCTGGGTTTAAGACGAGTATTAACAGTATTAACAGAAGATACTACACATTCTCAAGTATAATGTATTATCTATGGTATCATAGATACCTCGCCTCGGATTCAAATGTTTCCCCTACTAATACGATTCATTTTGCTTAGATCGAGCGGTAGGGACACTGGCTTTATTTCACAATCACAATATTTTTCACCTCACTAGATCGGAATGGCTTTCTTTCTCATTAGAAATCTGCGCGCAAAAGCGTTTTTTCCACGCTAACGTGGAAAAGACTTTTGAAATTATGAAATAATCTTAGACTCCTTCGCTTGCAGCCTTGCATAACATACATACATAAATTCAAGCCATTTGACAAAAGTATATCGTATAATACACGTGTTCTATATTTCAGTTGATATAAAAAGAAATATTGGTATATGTAAAGTATTGAATACAGTGGTTTACTTGTAAAATTTCGAGGTAAGTTTGTGTTCTTTTGTATCGTGAAAATTTTTAGAAATCGTGTTTTCACACGTTCTATTGTTTACTTTTACGCCATAAAATGTATAATCCTTCTGTCTTAAAAAAGCTTGGTCTACTTGTGCCCGATCGCTATGCAAGTGTGAGGGCCGCAGCACGCGGCGCGCTTAATTTGTTTGCCCTACCATTTACGCCTCCAACTAGGGCTTTCAGTCTCGTTACATTTCCACGTCCCGGGGAAAAATATTGAGACTCGGTACGGTCTCGAAAATCCCGCGAAAATGAGACTTTCGAGACTGTTTTCAAAAGTAGATTTCCATACTTGTAATACTAGGCATTTAGGCAGTCAAAACATGATATTTTTAGTAGATTTTTAATACTTTTTAATTTAATGACATAAGTCTCAAAAGTCTCGATATTCCCGAGACCGAAACCGTCAGTCTCGAGTCTCGAAAATGGAAAAAATGTCGAGACTTTCGAAATTTATGAGACCGAGATTCTCAGGATGAAAACCCTACCCACAACGCATCCACCACCAGAGCCATCGACGAGTTTCTGGCTCAGATCCTCTCAGCGAGAGTGTCCTCTCAGCGGACTTAGAAGAAACGAGACGTGGATGAGACGTGGACGATCACACAGAAGGCTGTGTACAGAATGAGAGTCACACAAAGAGCCATGGAGCGAGTCATGCTAGGTATCAAACTTAAAGATCGAGTCCCGAATTCCGAAATCCATAGACGAACCACGGTCCAGGACATAGGAGTTCAGATAACAAGTTTAAAATGGAGCTCAGCTGGAGATGTTGCGAAACGTGGTGAACACACGTGGAGTAAGGCGATAACCGAATGGTGGCCAAGAAATGGATATAGAAAGGTGAGACGTCCTGTAGCGAGATGGGTGAACGACATTGTCAAAGTGCAGAGAATCGTAATGGATGGCACAAACTACGGGAGGCTTATACCCAGCAGTGGGTGAAGTCAGGCTGTGGATGATGATGAAGATAAGTGTTACTAGCTGGTGAAATTACAGGCACATGGACTTGTTAACTTATATCTCAGGGTGACAGACGCAGTGGCAGTGTCCCTAGGATCTTTGCGATTAAAGATCTGAGTGGCACTGCAACTGTTATGGACAAGCATGTCGCTCACGACCAAGCACATGACTTTTTCGTGACGTCACTTGGTATTATAAAAAAAAGATTGTAGTCAGTTTTCTAAAGTAGTCTATATTTGTTGTGCGCTTGGCGTGGGGGTAGCGACCCATCAATCCATAGCAGTTACAGTGCTACTCAGTGCTTTAAATCACAAATCGCTGCGCCCGTCACTGTCACGTCAGACGTTTAGTAGCAGTAGAAGCTCCATGTGAAAGAGTTCGTCCAGGGTAGTACTGCCTTACCTATTTCTGCCATCAAGCAGTAATGTCAGCATTACTATATTCCGGTTTTGAAGGGTAAGGGTGCTGGTGAAATTACAGACACATGAGACTTATCAACTTATGTCTCAGGGTCACGGAACTTAATGGCAGTGCCCCTCAGATCTTTGCAATTTAAAGCTCAGAGTGCCACTGTAACTGTTAGGGACTGACGTGTAGTTTACCATCAAGCGCACGACTTGTTCGTCCCGTCACTTGATGTTATAAAAAAAACATTAGTTGACAAGTCACATTTGCCTGTAATTTTACCAACATTATTACCCTTTAAAACTGAAACTCAGTAATGCTTTCATTACTGCTTGGAAGCAGAATTTATTAATTTTTTAATATAAATTACAGACACATGCTTGGCCACAATCTCACTTGATTTTAATCGACGATGTGACCGACTATAATACGCGTTTGCCTAAAAAATGCCTATTCACTCTAGCCTAGAATAGCCCCAAATTGTACTTTTCGGGAAACATAGATGCCGTAAAGTATTCCATTCCTTTGCCGTATGCATCCGAAAGGAGGAAGCAAAGCGCTTAGTGCCAGTGGGTGGTATATCAACGATATAAGGATGGAGTGTTCCGGACCTTCTAGTCGATCGAGAGAGGAACGGTGAGTATGCCATGGACACACACATAGACAACAACAAATTGCACTCAAACTCACGAGAGAAATAAATGTAGGCCATACACATATTTCTCCCGGCCTGGGAATCGAACCCAGAACCTCTGCGTGACAGATGGTAACCGTTCGGCCACGGAGGCAGTTAAATTGAAAGTCCCCGAAATGTATCCGATACAAAACCGACAAGCAGGCTACTTTTCTGCGATGGTCGAGATTTTGTAGCTTCGACTCCACAAGAGAATTATTGTTAATAAGTCTCTTTGGTTTTCGCTCCACCGAGTCCAAGGCAGCTAACTGGCTATGGCCAGAGCCGTCTCAAAGGTGGCAGCAGTACTCCATTCACGATCGAACTTGAGCTTTATACAGATTTAAAAGCTGTTCAGGTGTGAAGTACCGTCTGACCGTGTATAGTATGCCTAGTATTTTGGCAGCAGTTTCCGCAAAGCACTCGATGTATGATGTTGGATGATAAATCCAGACTAAGTAGCTCAAGGTGGTCACTTATCGGCACGGATACATCTCGGAAAGTCGGAGTAAGGTATAGGGCACACCGTTTTGACGAGAAAAGACACGCCTGGGTTTTAGCATTAAACCTGACCCTGTTCGCTTCTCCCCAGTCGGAAGCCGCTTTCAGGCTCAGGTTCAACCTGGTGACCATCGCCTCTCGTTTACATCGGATCTCTTCGCTGTTGTCTCGGGCGTCTGGCACATAACTTTCTACCACCGGGTATCACCAGCAGGTCGTTGATATGTAGCAAGAATAGAGTGGCGGAGGGATCCCTGAGTTACACTGGCATTTATACCATGGGAAGCAGACGAGTAACCATCTACAACTACACGGATTGACCTATCCTTCAGAAAATCGCATATCCATGTGCAAAATGGGTAAAAATTAGGTAAATAGATAGGCAATACTTTCCTGGAAGAACTGCCTAGGACTTCTGCTGTTACTAAAATATACATTTACTGTTCGGTGAAAGATTGATATTGGTTTTGATGACAGTATTTTTAACTTTATTAAAAATCTAGATGAATTCTATTATATTGAATCCACTGCATCAACTGTATAAATTAACATTGAGGTGCCTCAGTAATCGATTAATATATACAATGAAGTTTTTCTTTGCACAGGTGTTTAAAATTTACATTATGAGTATTTTAATACGCACGTCATTCAGTAATTTAGTGCTATATTATTTAAAGTTAGGAGTATATAATGGTGGTGGGGTCGAGAATTGGTCAAAGTAAGCAGGAACCGTCGGCGGGCCATAGAGATACTGTCGCGGGCCGTAGTGAAAAATGAAGGCGGCCGTATTATTTGTGTTTGCTGTTGCCTTGGTACTTTTCCGTTAATTTTACTCAAATAATGTTGTTAGGGTTCTTAGGGTTTTCGAGATTACTACACACAGGAAACAAAACTATTTTATAGGATCTAAAACTTCGTAAATTGTGTCAATGTTTTTTTTTACAGTAAAAACCGCAACAGTTTGTGGAATAAAGGGAAAAAAAGAAATATCTATTTGCCAAGTTTTATTGAATTCGGTTTATGGAAAGTGTGTGAAATTATCAATGAATTAAATCCTTAGAAGTGAAATATTTTGTTCGAAGTTGAATGTGACCTTGACTACAGACGTTATTCCTTTCCATCAAAAAAAGAATCGTCGAAATCAGTTCATAGACACAAAAAAGGCAGTCGAATGGAGAACTGCCTCACTTTTTAAAGTCAGTTAAAAAACATTTGATTGCTAACTGGATCAGCCGTGACATTGGTTTGTTTAGATCCGAAAAAAGCAGTTACATTACCGAATAATTGTTGGTTATTTAATTTAATTATGTATTCCAAATTTTAATTAAAGTAATCGCACATAAATATTCACTGCATTTGTTAATATATTAACTTAGAATAATAACGCATAGAATGATAGTTTCATATCAAACGAACTGTCACAAGTGAGGCAAAAATCAAATTCAAGTAGGCTACTTTTAGTAGTAGGTTAATTTTCGGTTTTAGTGAATATTTATAAAAAAATACAAGTTGAAACGCGTTACTTCCTTGTGGAATGTGATGTTAGTATCTATTTTATGTTTGTCTGACGTATTTTTACACTCATTTACCGCACATTTCGCCATTTTTAGCTAAAATTCTTGAGCTGTTCGCGGTGCAAGTTGACCTTGAGCACTGAAGGCCCGCCCGCTCGTGTAGGCCCTTTGGGCGCGCTTCAATTTGCCTCACTTAGCGTGTGCGGACTAGGTTTCTATGCGTTATTATTCTAAGTATATTAATGATATTATGTGCGTAAAAATTTACTTAAAAAAGTTTACTTATCTAGTAAAGGCGACATAGTAAAAACTAATTATTTTCATTTAAACCAAATAATAAACATAATTTTTAACTTATAGGTGCAACTAACAAACGCAAATACAGATTTCAGACGTAAGTACATACTTTGTAACCATTAATTAATTTTGATAACCACTCAACAAACATACCTAAGGTTCAACTCACACTGGCGCAGAGTCGAAGCGTCGCTTCGCGTCTATGTTTTTCGACTACAACCCTCATATTAGCGCGCCCGGATCACTGTGTGGTCGACGTCTGACACGTCACTGCGCTCAAGTAAACAACGCACGGCGGCGCGCGAAACTGCTCCACTTTAACCAAATATGCTATAGGCGAAAACATGACGCGTCGCGACGCTTCGACTCTGCGCCAGTGTGAGTTGAGCCTAACAGTACAAATAGTTCCACTGCTTTTTTATCGTAGGTACTTATTTTCACTTAAGGAAAAAGTGAAAATGATCCAAGTTGCAATTTAAATTTTACTGTCAAAAAAGTCAACTTATTTGATTACCTACAATTATTTATATAAATAAATTATTATTGGGGTATGTCGCGCCATTTGAAACATTTATGTAATAGTAAATTATCGTTAATAAATGTATAATAGTGCATTTTATGACCATGTTAATTTTTTGTCTTTGACTTTTAATTACTTTTGTTTGAGGTGTTTAAAGAAAAATGTCCACCTATATACAGAAACAAAAATGTATTACTTCATATTTAAGCAAAAACATATTAATTCTACCAACTTAGTTTGTTTTTCTTACTGAAAACTTGAAAGTGTTCTTCATTTTCCAACAGGTGAAGATGATAGTGATTTTTTTATATTCCACGATTGGGATTCATTCCGGCCAGAGGAAAATTTTTTTGAATCGAGTTTAAGTAAACGTAATATCTACAGTAATTTCAACAATTTTAACGACAAATCTCATCAAATTCACCCATCACTCGGTGAAGAAATATTAGATGAATCTTCAACACCCTTGCAACATGATTATTTAAGTTTGCGCAACAAACCTGAAAAAAGACGCCCACATAAAAAAGCGCACAAGATAAGACCGCAGATTAGTAGTGTTCACTCAAGAGAATTATTTACAGAACCCTATCAGAGTTCAACATCTCCACCAAAGGCTCCACATATTACAAACCGACGAAAACAAAAAAGAACACATAAGATCAAACACGAAATTCAAACACTGCACTCAAAGCAACATTTAAATCAACCGGTGCCAGTGTCAACCTCATCGCACAAGACGCCATCATCCCAAACATCTCCGTCTAAATCGTCATCGAGTTCAGATAAATCGAATTATGGGTCGTCATTTAATCAGCCAGCTATAAAGGCAACGAGATCGTCAGATCAAATTCAAGAAAGGAAGCAACCAGGTGCGCCCAAACAATCAGAGCAGCCTAGACATTCTGAACAAAAAGAGACTTCTAGACAAATAAAGCAAGCTGAACAACTATCGAAGACTACAGAAAATCCTGAGCAACGAAGAAAAACAGAAACACTCAAGCAAAGAAAGCAACCTGAATATCCAGAGGCATCCAAGCAATCAAAGAAACCTGAACAACATTCAAATGTGCCGCAAAATACTGATCGACCATACTTAAAAAGAAAGACCCACAAAATCAAACACGAGATTCAAACATTGCATTCAAAGCAACATTTAAATCAATATTCAAGAACTCAGCCCGAGAGTTCAACGTTTCATTTACCAATGCAGTCCTACAAAACCTCGTCATCCCAAGTGTCTGGGTCTAAATCATCTTCGAGTTCAAACAAATCGTATAATGAGTTATCATCTAATTCGTCTGCTACAAAGAAAACGAGTTTGCCAAGTCGATCTCAACAACCAACGCCGCTAGAAGTACCCAAACATCCAGAGCAGCCTAGACATTCTGAACAAAAAGAGGCTTCTAAACAACCAAAGCGTTCAGAGCAATTATCACAGATTCCGGAGCATCCTAAGCAACAAAAACCAATAGAGACACCTAAGCAAACAAAGCAACTTGAACATGTCAAGGTATTCAAAGAATCCAACAAACCTGAACAACAACCAAATGCGCCACAAAATACAAATCAACCAAAAAGAAGAACATCCAAGATCAAACCCGTAATACAAACACTGCATTCAAAACAACATAAAAATCAACATTCTGCAACTCAGTCTGAAAGTTCAACGTCTAAATTCCCAGTGAGAACCTCAAACGAGACATCGTCATCTCAAATACCTCAGTCAAAATTATCTTCAAGTCCAGAATCATCCAAGAAACCAGAAAATTCTGTAATACAATCACAGGTACCAGAGCAATTTAAAGAACATGAGCAATCGGACGAGCCTAAGAAATCA